GTGGGTCGAGGTGGGGCCACCATATCCACTCTGGTGCCTCAACGTTGAGTGAACGACAGTGAATGATCAGCGAGGAAAGCCAGAAGCCCTCAGAGAATGATGGTGTATGAGAGATTGCCCAATTTTGTGCGACTCCCAAAAACTCTCCACGGCGTTCTTGGAATCGCTTTCCATCACATTTCGGCCGTTCCAGTGAAAGCACCGCAAGTAGCGGGTGCCCGTGCAGTTTGCATACACTACTCTACGGAAGACACAAAATGCGTCCCTCCAAAAGTTGAGGATGGGAGTTAGGTATTCACTAAGCTGGCATGGCATTGGCATGGCATGGGGTTTTCGATAGTAAGGCCATAGTTGAGCGTATTGGGAGCCACTAGGAACTGAGAGCTCTCGGCGGCCTCTCCGCTGCCACTCTTGGTCACATAATATCAGCCCTTAAGTAGAATATGTGGACACGTGGGACTCTGCACAAGTCCAGTCAGGGATGTATGGAAGGAATACCCGTGGATAGCGATCATGTAGGCGTTCTTTCTCTGAATGTGCAGCAAAGACAAAACCTGTCAAGCCGTGTACCTCTTGAACTTCACAATAAGCCGCCAGAACTTGGGCATAGTCAATCGGAGGTAATATGGAAACCGCACCCAATTTCGACGGGCCTCTTCAAAATAGACCAATGGCCCGCCCACCGTCCCCCGTAATGGCACTTGCGCACGCGCAGCATAATGCTGAGGACCTTCATTCTGACTCACTTCTCTGAGGTCACCGTACCACTACTGTGAACCATGGGCGAGCCAGCTCTTTGCCCTCCGATTGCAACTGCGCCGATTTTTTGATTCGACCAGCACTTTCTGTGAGTCAACGATACTACTCACCAAGATCGAAATGAACGGTCGTGGTGCTGTCTGGCGTGACGTGATTGGCGATCCACTATCTGCTTTTTGTAATTGAGTAAGCGGAAATCCATTTAAAACGATCGGCATTATCGACAAGAATTCTTCGAATGATTGCTAGTGCAGGCACTTTCTTTTCCCACATACTGCTATAACTGACCGCTGGCTACTTCGACTACTCGACTCCTAAGGCGGATGCGTATTATCAAGTGAATCATCCCATTGAAAGCTTCTCCAGAGCCTTATCCCAAAAATGAAGGGTACTATTACTTGGTCATGTGTCTCCTGTCTGGAAAGTGACTATCAGCGATACAATATCATCATATGTCCATACGATCCATTATCGCGTCTAGCCGGCACTTTGTCATTTTTCCTCCCAGCAAAGAGACGAATCAATATCTATACTCTATGCAAGGTTTGTAGAGCTGAAAGTGGATGTTTCTCGGGCGATGATCAACTACGTGTGGTGCCGAAGAAGAGGGATCAGACCTATTTCAAGTGGAATACTTCATGGGCGCGGTCGCAGTGGGATTACTGGCTTTCTTGTGACGAATGCCAATTGTTGAATGAATCAATGAAGGATAACAAAGTCTATATCCATCTTTTCAAAAATGTATCTATCAATTGATTCCAATACATATCTGCTTTCTTAGAAAGAGGAAGTTGAAAGATAGACTGCTTGAATGTAAGTCAAATACCGATCTAAGTTAGATACAATATGATATTTTGGTGTTGCTTTACTATCAAGATGAAACTGTAGTCTGATTACGAGTACGGTTGCCTCTTATTAAGTAGGAATGTGGAATGTTAGGCTTCGTCGTATTCAGACCTTTCGTATCAACAAAAAGGATCAATTTGTTCACAAGCAAAACTATACGATGGCATATATCGCGCTCAGAATCGACGAATACAGTAGCCAAATTGCACTTTGATATTGGCCAGAATCCATTTTACTTCCTGATTACGTCTGACCAAGCCATGCATCGTTGGCCATAGAACTAGTATTTATGAATAATCCTTAATCTGAAATCGCAAAGCAAAATTTCATTCGATACAATACGAAACTAACAGACTCAATACAAAAAGGTCAAGAACAGAAAAAATGAGAAATCCAAACATAAGACACGGATTTCCAGCTATTGGAGTTCCGAATGTGCATCGGATTTTCAATCCGCGGAACAAACATAGACGAGCGAGGCCGAGGAAATCTAACAAAAACTCGTAGCAGAGCTGGTGACAGAGCTGGTGGCAGGGCTATTAGCAGGGCTAGTGGCTTTTGTAGAGTATGACAGAGAAATGCTTGTGGAAGTGACCTCAATGTCAGTCGCACTACACCAGCTGCCAACACTAAGACAATCGTTCAAAGTGCATTCGGCCTCGTCCCCAGCCTGATTGAAGAACGTGACAAGACCATTCTGGTTCACGTGATTCCATGCGGTATCGCAGGCTCCCACGTTGAGTACAGAAAATGTTTTGTGGGTACCATCAATTACCTCGCTCAGCTCTATTAATTCGTCAACGCTGTCAGGACCGGATGCGTATTTGTCGCTAACTTGAGCAATCATTTCCATCGAGCTGGCCAAAAGATGCAGAGTATCCTGTGCATGCATGGTTATCACTAGACCACACGACGCATTCGCCAGAAAAGTCTTCTATCTGGAGAACACCGCCATGTGCGATGCCTGCATAGGTACTGGTGAAAACGAGACCGGCCGAAAAATGCATTTTCTTCGTTATATGTAAAAGTTCGCCTGTTTGAACGAGCAGAGTCGTCGAAGTATTTGTATTGTTCATCTAGAGCCTAATATCTTTTATGTAAGGCTAAGGTGCAAGACTAATCTTAATGCGAAATACTAAACCGTCCTGATTCCTAGTTCCTAGTTGCGAACACAGTATCGTGGGGCACATTAGTTGCCCATATGTTTCACTTCGATTGTGGGGCTGAACCAAAAGAGACCAAGTGGAGTCTGCGACAGCGTTTTGGTGTATCGCCCCTGATTCTTGCGACCTCAGTCTGGTCCACAGCAACATGTTCGTTATGGCGACCCCGGATCAAGAGCGCTGGAGTTTATTTCTTGTTCAGCCAAGCAGTATTTGATGGGGTTGTGTCAAAACAACTCTTTGGCGACAGCGATCCCACTTAGCCCCATCGGCACTGAAACATGGTCGCAAACCGGGCACAGGCTATGGAATAAAGTTATAGCAATAACTTAACCACGATCCGCATACTGTGAGAGTGAAAAAAGAGCCTTCGAACAAGTAGTTCCTGGCTGTCGTTTCAAGATCTCGCACATCTCTAGGTTGTCGCAAGTCCTCGCGCGGATGGTAAACCCTCGTATGCTCCATGTTATAAATCTCATCAGGAGTTCTCCACCACTGTATCTGAAGAGGATAAGGTGCTATCCTCGTCGGCTTCTTGATCTGCCTCCAGTCCGTCCGGATCGGAAACTCCAGATTCGGAACCGATCGCATGATGCTTGAAGTGTGCAGCGGAATCCAGTTTGTCAATTAACTCAAAATAGGGGAGGAGGGCCAACCCCAAAAGCAGTCCGGCCGCAGAGTCTAGCGGTGCAAGGACTGCTCGCGCTATGGAGTCCTGGCACGACAAGCCGCAGAAGCTGTCGGTAGCTGCAAGCAGGATATGAAAGGCGTGGTTGCTCCTGTAATCGTGACCGGTATATAGGATGCCATATTCGAGGAGTAGTCTAGGCTCGGTGATTCAAAGCGGTACAGAATATGCTTGTTGAAATAAAGGGACGGATGGAAATATTTCCATGACCTAACTACTACTACGTAGGCAGACTATCACTTTAGGGAAAAGCATCGATCTTAGCGTTAACCAAAGAAGAAGACTGGGAGGCTGAATTGTCAAAACCTGACTCTATCAGTGAGGCTGCCCCTAGCTGCAATATACAAGGCAGATCCTGGATTAAAAGCTTGCTGCTCAAGTCTATTGACCAAGGCGTGTCGACTGCTCTGGAAGGCTGGAGCTTATTCGTCATGCATGGCTCGGCATAATCCAAGGCAGCAGCCATCAGGCTGTACTGCATATTGGGCGACTGAGCGTGCGTCGAATCCTTTTTTTTTGAAAAAAAAAAAATTAGCACAGAGATTTTTGAAAAGGGAGTCTGAGCGTAGTAGTCTAGCAGACATCGCTTGAAATCAAGGTCCGGTGCGATCTGAAATTTTCCTCGGTTATTGGTGGGTGGCCATCTCAGCTTTGCTAGCAAGGCAGAATCAACAAAAACAAGCGGGTCAAGGATAAGCAGATGACCGGGGGAGTTGATTTGACATAAGCGTACTTAAAGGCTGAGCTTACATCGGAACCGGTGATGAGAACGAAGATCCAAGTTGATTTTCCATCAACTTCTTCTTGTTCGTTTTCTTCTTATCAGATAGCCTCATACTTCCCCTTTGGATAATAAGAAAAATTAATAGCCATTAAACTACAACACTACTATTAGTACAATCACCCTGACCTTCTCTTATATCTTAAGTACCGGGTTGAGCAAGCATTATGGAATACCAAGAATTCAAGTATCGTCGAATTTCAAAAATTCATCGGAAAAAGCATTAAGAGATAAGGGGATGTTTCAATGGGATCGGAGAACTGCAAATTCAGCCGCAGTAGATACGAGGCGTCTAGGAAGATTGAGTAATGGTTGGCTCCTTCCATGCACCAGACACGTTGCTGGCCTTTATCTCACAACGTAAAGTCGGTGAAAAGAACAATTAGTCGTTAAGTCACAATGCCTTAGCTCCTTACATCTGCAATAGCGCCTGAAACAGGATGAATTGCCCAAATTCTGCCGAAAGGGGCTCTTTCACCTACCTATTGTCGCACAGTCTCAATCAGGAAAAGAATTTCTAGGGCAGCCATCCTTGAGTGTTCTTTATCAGCCCTCTCTCCACTCCGCTATCAACACTGTACTTACAGTGGAATGCCGAAGGTACCAATCAAGTACGCAGCCGTCTTTTAACCGTGACAAGTCCTCGGCCGTGCATTCAAAGACGAAAGTGACCAGGGGTGTTCATAGCCTTATTTAAGTCATTAGAATGCCCACTGAAGCCGATACATGATACATTTTTCCATCATTTCAAGTTCCCTCGAAGATGCCCAAGATATCTGTGTGCAAGGCCTGCCCCGATGGTACTTGACCCTCTCACCATCTTAGAAACACTGCTGACACTCTACCCAAGAATGTGAATTAGCATACCATCTTAGTCTTTTGCGTATTGATGACCATTCAGAGCAACTAGAAGAAGCATCGCTTGCGCCGGTATTCACGAGCCACTTGCTTGGTACTTGCCAAAGTTCATCTGTGTCAAATCGCACTGAAGCGGCTTCACAGTATGCATTACTAGCTGGGGTTACTGAAGCAAATGGCTTAGATCCTAAGATTTATGAAGACGGTAAAGCTTGGGGGAACGACCCGAGACTGTTTTTTAACGTTTCGTCTCCTTCCAGCACTTTTATATGTGGTTCTCAAGGCTCAGGAAAAAGTCATACACTGTCATGTATTTTGGAAGGCTCTCTGATCTCTTCAAAAGCGGGAAGACTTCCAAAGCCTCTCACAGCCGTTGTATTCCACTATGATACTTTCATTTCTGACGTTAACGGTTCTCCTTGTGAAGCGGCCTTTCTTGCTTCAAACCCCGACATTAAGGTCAGAATTCTTTGTGCTCCTACAAATCTTCGAACCATACAGGTGACTAATTTTCTAGAGTCTTGTGTCGTGGCTGTTGCTGAGTTTTTCAGGGAACATACTCGCGATTCAAAAGCATCAAAGTGGAAGCTTTACAAATAGACCAGTCCGATCTAAACACCAAGCGTATGCTAGATCTAATGGCTGTTGGTCAAGACAATGGCCCTCTTCCATTGTATATGCACACTGTCCAGAGGATTCTTCGGGAAATGCGACTCGAACAGCAAAATCTTGGGTCAGGTTTTGATTATTCCGGGTTTAAGGGCAGAATTCTTGATTCTGGACTGACCACGGGCCAACTTGAGCCATTGAAGCAACGTCTTGATACTTTGGAGAGTTTCATGCCCTCACAGCAAGTCTTTCCGACCACTGGAAAGACGCTCAAAGCGGAAAGATGGGGCTCTGATTGGATGCCACAAGTAAGTCACTACTTATACTTTTAGTTCACGATCGACTAAGAATATCAGCCAAGTCAACTGACCATAGTTGACCTTTCCTGTCCGTGCATTTCTTCCGATACAGCCTGTTCCCTTTTCAATATATGTTTCGGAATCTTCCTAGAACAAACCACAGAAGTTGGTCGCATAGTCGCGCTTGATGAGGCTCACAAAGTCGGTATTATCTCTCACATGCCAGGTCATCCTTCTAAAGAATATTAGTACATGGACAATTCTGTTGAAGCACGATCTTTCACCGAAACTCTCCTCTCCACCGTGAGACTGCAGCGACATCTTGGGATCCGCATTGTGATCTCCACACAAGAGCCGACTATATCGACCGCTCTCCTTGGCCTTTGCTCTGTCACCATTGTACATCGTTTCTCATCCCCGGATTGGCTTCATTCTTTGAAGAAACACATAGCGGGCGTCTCTATGGGTGAGGGAATTTGCAGGGAGTCAAGTGCGCATGAAATGTCATTGTTTGAAAAGATAGTCCGTCTTCGCGTGGGTGAGGCTTTGCTTTTCTCCCCTGGTGCTGTGATCAGCATCCCAACAAGAAGCGGCATGGAAGATTTAAGTAAGAAATTAGGACCTGGGTATCTGGAAGTGAAGATCCGAAGCAGACTGACTGAAGACGGTGGGAGAAGCGTTATTTCTTGAAGACTTGGCATGCCGGTATCTACAAGCATTTACTGGCCGCGATCGTTACCGGAGATTATTGAACTCAATCTGAAGATCCTCATCTTTCAAGAATGCAAATATATGAACAGTGTTGCAGTCCAACATTACCGGGTCGTATCTGCCGCAGAACAGTATATAAAACGTCGTGATATCTCAAAGTTATCATTTGCAATCACTGCTCAATACCAATGCTGGTCAAAATTGAGTAACCTGAGAGGACCCTACTTGTTTCCCATATAAATTTGACTCGGTCGTCTGTACTAGCCCGTTGTCCTACTGCCAACTCTCATTTTCCCTAAAAGATGACGGCGGGATGTGCGTGGATGAGGGGGCGAGAACGCAGCTCAGTAAAGAAGTCGTGGTTCGGTTGTTAGGTTTCTCTTGGGATCGTCAGCTGTGGGCCTTCGCAGTAATGATTGAGAGCCTGACGCTTGATAAACTTTTATCTAGCACTTTGGTATGTATTCGCACCGCCAGGTCCATATATCACAATACCTTTTGGCCCGATTCCCGGAGACGCAGCCCTGATTGATCACCTTTCAGACTGGAGTAGGCTGTTCCCAAAGCTTGATGGTTGAATTTGAAGTGTGCCTGGCAAATCAGATGCCATATTGTTTTTCTTGAATCTCAAAGTGGCGCAAGAATCGCTGGAAATGTAACACTTCAGGAACACGTACCGTGGTGAGGTCTTAGTGCATGGTCGTTCAGAAACTCGAAACATGGAGCGGATGAAGGGCCTTAGCTGGGTCTACTGGTTGGGCGTAAGAACTGGTTCATGCTTCGAATATGTCAATTGATACGAAGGGAGAAGTTGGCGACGTATATTATCTTCGACATATTATCAATTGGTGTAGAGATGATCCTGCTTGGCGTTGAAGGCACCCCAGCCGGGCCTGGCCTCAAGGCACTGATAGCTCAAGAGGGCGGCACAGCAGATGTGACTTCATATTACAAGGCTGCGCGTGCTTACAACTCCGGCGCGGTGGCTTCTAGCGGCAACCTGGGCCAGGGCGGTGCCACTCATTGCTATGTTTCTGACGTCGCCAATCGCCTTCTGGGTTGGACCGATGGACCCAGTTTGTGCGCTCCAGATGCCATTGGTCAAATATTTGCTGCGCTTTGGGATGGCGACAGTTCTGCTGGGCACGCTGACCGCAATGGGACATCGACTACTACAACTGCGCGGATCCTTGCCCAAACCCACGGCTCCTCTTCGTCCAGCCTAAGCGCACCCTCAACACCTATTGTGCAGTCCTCTGTGGCCTGGACATCTGCGCGGGTCTCTCACAGTTCAACTTCATTGGCTTGTAGACGCAAGGGCAATTAGGTTACACAACATATGCAGCGTCATGTTGGACAGTGCTTATGATGCCCTCCTAGCTGCGTTGATTTCAAGGACCGAGATTGTCTAGATACCAGAGTAGATACAAGCTAAAGCGCTTCTAAAAGAATTCAGGTATACCGAAAGTAGAACGCTCATTTGAAGTCGTCTTTCTCCTCTAAGCGGGCGAGAAGTCTCCCTTGTAGTAGTTCCAACTGAGCAAGGAATTTCTCTTCCCGCGCCTTCTGTTCTGCGTCCCGTTTCTGTTCTCGTTGCTTCTCACGAGAAAATTGCTCTTCCAATTGAGCAAGGAGTTTCTCTTCCCGCGCCTTCTGCTCGGCTTCCCGCGCCTTCTGCTCGGCTTCCCGCGCCTTCTGTTCTGCGTCCCGTTTCTCTTCTCGTTGCTTCCGATCTGCTTCCCGTTTCTCCTCCTTTGCCTTCTGTTCTGCCAGCTGTTGCTGCAGTGTTTGGACCATCATTCGCAGCTCAGGTTGCAGTCCACGGCTCTGTGAGGATGCGGCCCTACGATATCCTGGGCGTTCCTGCGATCCAATGATGGACAGCTGTGACTCGACTTCATCGACGTCGATTCCTGAGGTATCGTCTTCTGGATCAGGCACTCTGCCAAGGACGTGCATCAATCGATCGGTATGAATGCGCAGGAACTCACGGTCCACATTTTCCACGAATTGATAGCATGTCCATCGATCTTCTGGGGTCCAGACGTTGGGTTGTGCAATGGGCCACCGGTAGAATGAGACTTTATCTTCCTCAAACTCAGGATAGTAGCCGTATATGCGAAAGCCATCGAGTTCATGAGAGATCGAAAATCCCAGAATCCGCCGATGCACTTCTTCTGTGCACCCAGCCGCTTGGCACAGCGAGACCACGGCTCGCAGCGCGATGCACATGCTGTGCATGTTTTGCCGGTCCGCGAGCTCCAGCGCTTGGTTTCCACATTTGATTTCAGCGGTCAGGTAAGGAAAGTACATGTCCTCGCGCGCCGTATACGGCGATTTTTCGTCGGGTCTGATGCCGAGCTTGCGCCGCTGGCTCTCAGTGAACACTGACCACTTCAATCCACGTGCATGGTCAGGCTGCGGCTTTGGACCATAGATCGGCTCAGTCTTCAGCCATGGATCATTGTATCCATCTATGACGTCTCTCAGGCCCTGCGTGCCCCTGATGAACTGATTTTCCGCGGACGGCATGATCAGGGGATGCAGGTCTACCAGGACACGCGCTTCAGACCGGTTCCGCAGCGCGTAATGGAATCTGTCAATATACTCGTCATCGAATAGGGTGCCCTGGGGAGTGGCGATCGGCTGATGAAGAAGACGCTCACAGAGCGCGATGTCCTCGGGCATCGGGCCGGCTTGGGACGGCTGCATGAAGCAACCTTTGGTCTCCAGTATGGTCACATAGTTCACAGCTCGGTAGGCGTATGACCGAGTGTCACGAACCGAGCTGCTTTCGCTGTTTTCCGAGGAGACAGACCGAGCGCGTCCGCGGTCGGTAGAGATCGAGCGCGATCGGGATCGCTTGGATGCTGGTTCACTCATTTCTTCGACGACAGCAACCTCCGGCGCTGGTATCCACTGGTATATTTGGTCTTCAAGCGGGGTGGGCGTATGCGTGAGCGAGATTGGCGTCGTAGTTCGGTGTTCTGGAGGATTGGATTCCTATGCAGTTAGCTACTGGAACGTCGTCAATCCAGACACGCTGCTCACTTTTCCAGGGTGATCTGGCGAGGAGGGAGAAGGCGGCTGTGATGAATTCCTACGGTCGTGCTTCCTCTGCAAAGGTTCTGGATTCGTGCTCAAGCTATCTCGCCGGGGTACTTTGGACGGCCGCTCCTCACCATCACTCTGAGAGTCGCATAGATCGGGCGATGTTCCACGTTTCATGACGGTGTATTTGACCAATCAAGGGTATTCATCTTCCTGGTCAGCACCACGTTTGGACAGAGATCAAATGCGACGCGGTTTCATCGGTCAGAGGATGTCGGGTATCGAGTGGTGACGGAGGCCCTTGGCCAGCAGAACACGAGTCGGCGCCAAGACATCCAATCAATTCCTCCGCGGACCGTCATGGACCCACTATCCAGCGCAGCTCTCTCTGCCTTCATGTCTCAGGGCCAACCCGCACTAGTTTGGGCGATCGAAGAAATGGCGTTTCAAGCTGGACATTACACTTTTATGCTGGGAACTCGACTCCTTTTCTTGTGTAGTGTCCACATTGTACCAATCACCTCGCGAGCAAGGATTTATTTTGATCCCCACATCATGAGCAGCTATCAAGACAGAGCTGTCGGTGTATCAGCACAGGGCGCTCTGGGAAAGTCCGCCAGCTCCTATCCTGACGAGGGAAAGACACTTTGATCCTGGGCATTAGCATTAAAGCCGGTTCAACGAGGCCTACTATAGCTAGCCAGTTTACTACCCTGGTCACGAAATCGCGTTGCTCAGATGGGCCGCGCTCAAAGAGTGGAAACCGCGCGGTTTGCTTTTCGATTGAAAATACACATAAAATCTCTGATAGGTCTTGATGATAGATAATTCCCCGTCTATGATAGGATGCGCCCAGTTAGCCCTCCGGTCCATGTCATTGAGCACGTCTTGACTTGATTCTGGATTCTGCACCGTGGCTCCGCCCAGCCCATCCGAAACACCCATTCCCGTTAGTGACAAGCTGAAAGAACCCAAGCGAAGAGAGCGAGGGCATCGCTCAGACATCAAGTTTTGGCCCTCTATCGGACGCTTCTGATTCGACCCTGCATAAATTTTCTGCTGATACAGATCCCGGGAGGTTACTGTCGAAGAAAGTCGATGCCGAAGAAAAGTGTCGAATCGGAACGAATCGTGTATGGACTAGTAAATCATGGATCCAATTGCCAGAGCGTTTTTTTTGTTTCTGAGTGCTGGATCGAGTTGAGCGATCCTGCCTGATTCGTGCAGACTAGTTGTATAGCCCATACGTACGCTTACGTGAACTCTGCTTGCAATAAGCATTGCAAGCAGAGTTCCAATTAAATGACCTGGGCACCCCGCGTTTATTCCTCGGGATCCAGTTCGACTATTACATCGATAGGTTTGTATCTATTTACTAACACTAGTACATCTAGAAGATACTCTCTAACTTTAATATAGAGACTTGTCAGCCGAAGTCTATACTAATAAATCCTAAACAAACCCTGAATCATCGTCCAGATAAGGTACTTCTGGACGAGGAAGCAAAAGCTCATTATATAACTACCATCGATTCGTTGATGTATCTAATAGTTAGCACGCGACCGGATATTGTGTTTATACTAGATATATTAAGTCGCTTTACGTCTCAGCCGTAATCTTACTATTAAGTTACTCCACAGCGATTACTTTACTACATCTAAGCTACACAGTCTTATCGTATTACCTACCGCAGTAGACAGTTAATTATGTATACAGACGCCGACTTCAGGGGCTCTGTTGTCACTAATAGTGTATACTTAACATCTGGCTATATATTCCAGCTTGCAGGCGCACCAGTTTCCTAGTCGTCCAAGAGATAGGGGGAAGTGGCCACGTCTACAATACATGCTGAATATATCGAATAATATAATACCATTCTACATCTATAGTGGCTCCGTACCTTTCTAGCCGAAACGCAGCTATACCGGTCTCCGATTACTAACATCATAGCTAACAACCAGTCCGCCATTATACTTTCTTACAATCCTAAATTCTATAAACGAACAAAGCATTTTAATGTAAAATTTCACTATTAGCGAGCCGTCCTAGATACAGGTAAGATTAGGCTTCAATATATTCCAACTGAGGAACAGGCCGCAGAAAGTCTCACTAAGCCATTGGGGCCAACGTTCTTTGCCAAGTTTTGTAGTCTCTTAGGAATTGACGCCTCAGAAACTCAAAGGCTACATACATAACAGCATAGGCGCTCTTTCCATCTTATTTTCCCACGAAGGTTTTTTGAGTGGTTTTACCGAGGCCTAACTGCTCTGCACAATTCCAGTATCGCTCTGCCAACAAAGCGATCCTGAGGGGGAATGTTGTGATATAAGGCTGGTGCAGATCAGGAACCAAGCCAAACCATCGGAATTAATCCCGAGGTATCTATACGAAGAATCAAGTTGATTGGAAATCAACTTGTTTGTCTCGTATATATATAGTCTGATGTTTCCCTCTGAACAATCAAATTAATACCTCTGAACACAACACAAGATGCACTAATATGAGGTGGCAGCATCACCAAAGGATTGAAATTTTGCTCTTTTTTCCTCTTGATGCTGCTCTAGCACGACTAGAATCCGCTCGATATTTCTAGAGACGGCACGAATTTTGATTGAGACAGCAGGGAAAAAGATACGCAGCGTCTTGACCATTATACCCAGATGACTCGGAAGAATGCCAAATCTCGTCAGGCACATATCCACGGCACCTCGAATGGTCGCACCTCGAACGGTCTAAATTATCCTATCGGAGGCCACACTTCTTGTGCTTGGTACACCGATAGTCGGCGCAGGGGTGCATAAGTCGAACACGCTGATTGCACCGTCCAATCTTTTGTCTGAACCCTTGCCTGCCTTTGTACCAGCCTCGGACCTCTTTAACCCGTTGCGTGTATCTCTTGTTCCGATAGCCGTCGCATGCTGATCTTTTGACAAAACGAAGGTACCAGGATCCGATGCCGTGGATATTCATTGCCATTGAACGGACCGTATAGCTGACGGGCAATGGGCGAACAAGACGTGTCGGGGGAGCGAAGAAAGACTGGCGTAGAGAGGATTGCCCAGCTGAGCACGCTAGGTATAGGTCGCTCAGCGGACAGGATTCGTTTCGCGGAAAGGATACGGAAAACTCGCTGGTGGTGAGCCGCTTGTCGTAAGGCAAGATTTCACATGCTGTCGATGCTAATCGCCTGCTCATCATGGCCAATTGATTGAAACATCGAGTGATGTCTCCGAGGATCTCCAGGTCGGGATTGGCCGCAAGTCATCCTGAGAGAGAAAACTTGTCCCCGACGGAGCACAACCCACAAGCATGCTATTTACCAGCTAAAGAACGATTAAGGGATGCCGAACCTTGAGCGTTATGTGCTGACTAAACACTAGTTGGCAGGTTCTTCGACCTCGAATGCGGGTGGCCAGACAAGAGATCGATCGCATCCGATAGTATTGGGTTTCTTGCGGTGGCCGAAGCTGCGGCCTAACTTGATTCAGCGGTGGCTTCTGTATTGTACCGATCACGATGATTTGTTCGGGATGTTTGCTTGTTGTGTGAAGATTTGGTGGCCAGGGGGCGAGCGAATTCTAGAGTTCTGGAGCGGAATGCGCGAAATGAGTTGCAGTTTAAGAAGACATTTTATGAGACGTTTATGAGAGAGTGGGCGGGGGCTTACGCCGTAGTTTATTGCGCGATATCCGGATCTCGTAGCGGGGATTGATATGGCGACTCTCGTTTTTGAGGTTGTATAGAACTGATCGAAATGACTTTTGATTATCTATTAATGCAGACTATATGCAATGTTTCTATACCGTTCATAAAAGGACAATGACCTGATTAAAGAAGACAGGACTAATAGAAACTTGTCAAATCGCAGCAGCTCAAGCCTTCTTGTCATCAAGGCTAACGGGCCATCTCTCCCTAATGATCTTGCCCCACTTCGTAAACACAATGGGCAGCGGAACAAACGCCAACGCCACAAAGCCGAGCAACGAGTTGCCCCAGCCGAGCCCAAGGACATCAAACATCCTCGGACCAGCCAGGGGTAGCAACGCACCAACAAGCGACCGGGATGCCGTCAGCGTAGCGTTCGCGGACGCCGCATACGCCGGGTAACAGTCGATGATGTAAGTCTGGATCGGCATGTACACACCCATCATGCCAAATCCGAAGGGGAACATTCCGATGATGGGCACAATCCAGAAGACGTGCTTGTCGGCGGTCCAGCCATACCAGAAGAAGCTGACTGGCAGGACGCAAGAGAAGAAAATCATCATTGGGAGGCGCATTTCGGGTTCGAATTTCCCGTTGTTCCGTGCTGTGAGCTTCCCAACGATGCGGTCGTTTGTCGTCGCGTTGACGGTGACGCCGCCTAGGAAGCCGAGTCCGATGCCTAGGTAGGCCAGTCCTGAAAGTCCAACCGAAAAGCCGTATACGCTGGTGAAGACGTCGGAGATGGTGGTGAAGAAGAGGTACAGAAGACCGTAGACCAGGGACTAGAGGGATCGTTAGTAAACCATGAAAAAAAAGACACTTGATTCATATCAAGCTGCGAGCTCAAACTCACCATGTAGGTAGCCAGAAGGAAGACAATGGGCGACGTGAAAAACAGGATAAAAGGCCTCTTGAGACTCTTCCCAAGAACATCTTTAACAGATGCCGGCTCCTTATCCGTATCATAAGCACTCGTCAAATCCGTCCGACCAAGCTCCTTGCCCAACTTCTCCGTCTTCCAGCGGATAAGAACAACGGCATAGGTCTCCTTATTGAAAACCTCCACCCCAGTGGAAAACGCACCACCGGCAATAAGCAACAGCCAGAAAACCCAGCGCCAGCCAACAGTCTCGCCCATGAACCCACCGGCAATGGGACCAATTACGGGACCAAGCAGGGGTCCCAAGGCCCAGATGGATGTTGCTGTACCGCGCTTCTCGCGGGGAAACATGTCGGCGATGACGCCGGCTCCGAGAGTGATACAACCCGAACCGCCAATCCCGGCAAAGAGACGGCAGATGATGAGGGTTCCGATGTTTTGTGCCAGGGCGCAGCCGATTTGCCAGACGACGAAGAACCAGTTTGCGGCGCTGAGGACGATGCGGCGGCCGTAGATTTCACTCAGGGGGGCTAGGAAGAGGGGGCCGAACTTTATTGCAGGAATTAGTTAGATATGGCACTGGATTGTCTTTTATTATTGCATGAATGGAAACATGTTGGTTGGTATGGTTGCGGCCTACTGTATATCCGAGGAGATAGATGCTGACACTGAAAGACAGGATTGTCTCATTTGCTTCGCCAAAGTCGGCTGCCATGTAGGGAATTGCTGGGGAGAACATGCTCGAGGCGAGGGGTGAGATGAGGGTCATGGCGCTGATGAGGGCAAGCAAGGCCCATTTCTTGCTGTTGGTAAAATTCTGGGGGTTGCTTGGGTCATCTTGGCCGTCCCAGCCGACGATGCCCTGGTCGAGGTCTGTTTCGGGAAATTTCGTGGCTGGGACCGGTGCCTCGGTGGCTTGCTCTGTTGCTTGCTTTTCGAGATCAGGGGTTTGCTCAGTAACGCCGTCGACTTCGTTGAGGGTAGAGAAGTTTGAGTCCGACTGTTTCGGATTGGGTGGGTCCATGGTGGAGGAAGAATATTAGAGAATTATGTGTATAGGCAGGGAATTTGCCGTGTGGGAGTGAAAAAATCGGAGTGGAGGAAAATAAAAGTGGATGGACAAGCCAAGGAAAAGCTGGGATAATTATAACTTCGAAGGAAATGAAAGGCAGAAAGGGAACCTGAATGCGCTTCATTCATGAACCGAGCAAGCTAGTCTCCGGCCGACATATGCATTAAGATAAGCATAGTCATGCATCCGGCCTAGATCTGAGTCATGGGATTTTTATGCCCATACTAGTGCCTTAGTGCCCCACTGCTCTCCACGGTCGCAGCTGGTGCACCAGCCCACAACAATAATTTCTTAGATTAATACATCTTCATGTATAGTTGTTGCACCATGCAACCGCCTAGTTATTTCTCTGCGTTTCTCCTCGGATACTTGAGGCCTTGGCGATCCAATCTGACTCGATGACGGAAGCGGCGGAGCCTGTTCCAGGCCTAAAATAGGCTGAGACTGGCTAACTAATCTCTTTCTGTCAACGAGCCGCTGCTCGTCTCCCCTTGTTTCTCTCTCTTTGGTGCTAGATTTAGCATCACCAGGACAATGTGGGCCTATATGCTTGCTTAGCTGCCGTTTGTTAGGCTTAGGACATGTGGTACCACTAAGTCTAATAGTACCAACAATGTGTCGGTTTAGGCCGTTCTTGGTACAGTGCCCAGAAACAAGTCTCCGTGCGACAGTGGATCTCAACGCGACGCGTGAAAAGACTTACCTTCTTTAACTCCTAACCATGGTTCCACGAACCCCTCTACGCCAAATAGATTTAATAGGCGTAGAAATACGGAACTCACTCCTTAACTTCCGAGGCAAAATTACTACGGAACACGAATTAGGACTCTTACGCTAAGATGGATTTTTAGCGTCTACCGATATACCGTCGAACAAGAACGTTTACGCCGCGACGGCCGACCGAAGGCCTTGACCAAGGGTGATAAGCGTGCAATTTCGAGTAATTAAACGCGACCGGTTACGACGATATCCGCAAACAAAGTTGGACTACAGCGTGTAATAAGACGATACTCTCTAGGATCCCAAAAGGAATAAAGGAATGCGAAGTGTTACGCGTTGCTAACTGGTCACGGTTAGTGGTCAAACAGTTGGTGAACGTACCTTGTTATTGTTGTTATCGAGGAGAATTGGAGGGTTCGATAGCTGAAGTGTAGTTAGTCAACCTGCATCGAAACCGTGGTTCACAATAAATTCACGTCTACGTATACGATTGTTATTGAAGGTGTGCTCCGACGGCTTCCATTATTCTTATCGAGGCCCTCATTCATAGGCCATGATAGCAGTCGTAGATTATTGTGATTCGGTGAAGGTAGAACAGAGATTTGAGGGTTGTAGTAGCAAATCGATCTTACCGGGTTGTGAGGGACAGACAGTGTTTTGATGACCTTGGAAGGAGACTCTTGGTGCGAATTGGAAAATTGACGTTGATGGTGAGTGACGATGCTGAGTGGATGTGGACCGTCGTTGTATTGTTGGTTGTTGTGTTGACGGTTGGTGATGTTGACAGTCGTAAATGTTGATGCTAATGTGCGGTGGAATAGAGCGGTCTGGCGGCGGATCCGGGAGATTTTCTTCCTGTCACTTCACTCGCATGAACTTGGTGATACGCATTAGTTTTGAAACCTTGCTTGATTCGCTTATATACACTAGAGGTCTTGGAATGCGATAAGGAACAGTGAAAGAACAGTGAAAGAACAGTGAAAGAACAGTGGAAGAACAGTTGAGTAATTCGGCAACCCATTTCCAAAGGGTTTGAACAGCCATTCTAAATAACGACTTGGTCGAGACTGGTGAGCTATCTATGGAAGTGGCTATTCTAGTGAAGGGAAAGGAGCATTAAGAGGAATCAAATCTCGCAGTTCTCGCTAACAGCAAACCGCAATAATAAAATCACATATTAAGCTCATTGGCGTAGTAATAGATTTTTGGAGACTGAATTTGCAAGCTGATGCTTCGATACTGTAAAGTGCAGTATAGCTTCCTTAAATACATCCTCCAAACTTTCCGTGGTAACCTTCACCGAGAATATCCTAGGACTAGTGAAACACTTGGTATGACGGAGCTATTTGAGCCTAGTTATAAGACGCAAAAAGTGGGTAGCCCAGTGTCACAAAAACTACGAGTAAGCGAGCTGATCGAGAAGTATAAATAAGTGCCCTTCCCCCCTATCATTACAAAAGCAGATCTGGATATATACCCTATACAACACACTCATTCCGCAATTTTGCCAACGCAAGTGAAAGTGTCTCAGCAATCTTCCGTGCCATATCCGACTTTTTACCCAGCAGCCACAGCCCCTTCATACAATCCTCAGCCTGCCCCATATTCCGCTCAAAATTACCACTGTTATATCCGATAATAGACCCAGCGTAGCGCAAGGACTCATGTGCTCCACCTAAAAAGACTATGCAAGCTTTGGTAAACGCCCTGATTAGAATCATCGTCCATGGCTCGGTCAGGAGCGTCCCCTCGTTGATAGCGTGATGAAAGTCCGGCATCTGCGGCACACCCAGGTTGGAATCTCTGGTTGGCGGTGTAGCGACTCTTGCTAGATCTGATAGCTCCCTGGCACTATGCTTTCTAATTCCCCTAGCTATTTGGCTGGTCATACGGCTGCAAGCCGCATCTTCCATACCCAAGGCATTCTCGTCAACGAATTCCAGTAGATCCGCAAGCATCAGGGCAGCGAGGTGCCAGTGCGCAGAGATGCAGACAAACCAGCCCCGTATGCGCTGCGGAACCGCACTGTAGTTCTGCACGAGTTCGTCAAAGAAGGCACCGTGCGTCTTATTCCAGTATTGATACAGCGACGTCGTGCTGTGGATGATGTCTTCAATCTGCTCTCCATGGGCGCTCTTGCGAACGGCGTTTTGTAGATACGACAGGTGCCGGAAGAGTAGAACTTTAACCGGCGCTGACTTGATGACGTCCTCGGCAGCGGTCTCGTATGAGCAGGGCCAGTGTGTTTGATGCATCTCGTCGATGCTTCCTTGCATGAAAAGGTCGAGATCCCACCGGCTTCGTGCAAGAGAGTTGTTCATATTCGCAGCTTCCTGGTTCTCTTTTTGCGTTTCGTGTTCGCAGTCCTCATCCAGTACCACGACGGGCCGTTCGTTCATGGACGAGGAAATGGTGTCAAACATAATGGCCAGCCAGTAGAGCAGGCTGATCGTCCCTCGATCCTCGGAACTCATGGCTGCAATGCCGTGAGCGCCCTTCTCTTGACTGTCACACTGCTTGCCAAGGCCCTTTTCGAGCGCGTCGCAGCGATACTTCAGTGCGTGCATTTTTCGAGCTGCGCTCTCCATGTATATTGGTGGCCCTTCCTTGCGTATTATGTCACGCACCTGTGACAAGACCGAGTCCGTGGTGAACTGGCGGCCTTGTGCCCCCATCGCATGTCCAGGAGACTGGTTGTGGGAATTCCATGGCCTTTGTGTCAAGCCGAAGATCAGCTCGGCACAAGCCACTCTGTACGACTCTAGAGCGGCGACTTGTTGCAGTGCGCGCTGCGCCTGATCCCAAAAGTGTTGCTGGAGAATGCGGTCGAACTCGTCGAAGATGCCATGTGAAATTCCGTCCTCGCCATGGTGGAGAGTCCCGGTGGGATATTTCTCGCGGTGCCGATGACTGCCCTGCGCCCACTGCGTAGCAAATGCCATGATGGCAAGGTGGAGGGCCTTGGACGCGGCCTGGTCCTCGGACCGTGACAGCTGCAGAAGCTTGCAAGACTGTGCGACGCGGTCGAGGTTAATCGTGCGCTGGTATATCCTGTTGGACCATGATGAACCCCATTCCGGCATGACGTGCATGGTATGTCGCGACCCTGGTTGGTAGGGGCAGGTCATCTCGGTCAACCAACACGAGAGGTTGTGCTCTAGTACGTCGTGGTAGATTTGAAGCAGGTTTGCTGAAGTCAGGTGGTAGTTGGATGTGGTGATCATTTGTTGGTCGATGGAAAATTGGGAGAGCGAGCTCTTGGGGCTGTTCCAACTGGAGGATTGTCTGTCGGAGGACTTCCAAACGGAACCACTCAGCCGCCGGGGGCTTTTGAATGAGGTGGATTGGAGGCTGCTGCACGTCTGTGGCGCCTGGGAAGCCTGGGAGGCGGGCCACGTCTGATGGCATATCGGGTCGAGTTCGAAGTCTGAGGGTTGCTGGGTAGAGATGTCTGAGGCACTGGGGAAGTCAAACGGCAGAAAATCAGTCAGAGGTCGTGCAGAAGTCAATGCGTCAGGCATATCTGCCTGCATCTCCTCTTGAGGGACCTCATTATGGTTGAATATGAAACTGGGCGGCATCGAATCATAGTCTAAAAATGGCTCGGACAGATCGACGTTGGCCAGCTCCCAGGCCGTAAGCTCCTGCGTGGGATTTGGTTCGAACTGATCATCCCATATTCCAGATTCAGTTTCGACGTGGAGTTCATCAACATTCCATGGGAAGAGAAGACCTTGACTCAAGTTCTCATATTGGGGTTGTTGGTAAGATAAATTCAGCGCCGACTGAGCCTGCGACCGGGCCCATTCCATGGTACAGCGCTTCTTTGTTCTGGCGCAGTAGGAGCATGGTGATTGCTGGCGATCGATGCTGCTAAGTGTTGCTCGTCGGGTCAGATCTAAACACAGTGCATCGCATGCTCGCTTGGATTTCCTGCACTGGTCGCAAGAGTGGTTCTGACGCCTGGCTCTGGATCCTTGTGCAACTGCCGTAGCGTGTTTCTGGACAGGCATGCCGACCGATGTTATTGACTCTTTTTACTTTTAAATCTTTCTCTTTTCTTGTTTTCCAGGCTATAATGTGAGAAATTGAGACGTTTTATGTGAATAATATGAAGTCAAGCTAGTGGGGTCAGTGGCAAGTTAGATGGCGTCAAAAGGCGGGGTATCGGGAGATCCTTATACACTCGACCCCAGATTCCCCGCATTTCCCTGCGGCGAGTCTAGTATGTTGCTTGTCCGACGATGATTGGCCATGATTGGGCTCGGACGTATGCTGATTACAGGTACGTGCCAAGGCGTACGAGTCGCATGTAGCATTTGTCATAGACCGCGACGAATTTCAGGTGCGTAAAGTACGGACAAGATGTGCTTTTTGAGGCTCATTGCTGATACGGATTCTAGCTCGGATAAAAGAGCTACGGAAGAGCGATCACGGGGATCTCGAAGTTGATGCCAAAGCATCGATACGTGACAACTGGCTAAGTATCTAGGTACATTCTCTCACATTCAAACTCACTGAGCAAGCGCTTTATATATCTCGGCCTCGACTGCTCCCCATAGACCAAGCACCTCGGCGTCCGCAAACGGCAGAATCTGCGTACAAACAATCCCCGCAACGCCCTTCTCCCTATCCGCCCACCACCACAAATTCGGCAGCCCAGCCCAGTGCACTGTGCCATTCGACCGCCCTGTCACGCCACCGTTGCTCAGCATAAAGGTGAGGCCCCAACCCTGTGGCGGATCCCCAGAAACTGGATACAGCTCAGGAATGGGGTTTGTTAGGTCCGGTTTTGCAGCTGGGATGCCCGGGCGGCTGTAGTTAGGGAATTGAGGGATTTGGTTGGAAAACATTTCATCGACGGTTTCTTTGAGAAGTAACTTACTGCCCGTCTTAGGACATGTTCCGTCATTTAACAGCACAGCTAGGACCTCTGCGGAAACAAATCAATGGATGAAATCTCACCAGGGTTTTCGGACTACTCACTGCAGTATTCTTGCGGCTTGGCAAACATGCCTGCGCCACCGCTGTTAAACACCCTGGCAACTTCAGCCGTATTCTCCGGATCCACGACCAGAGGCGCTCGATGAAGATGGTCTCGGGCTCTCAGAGTACCGTCTGGATTTCTACTGTTCATATACGCCAGCCTCCGGCGCATGTCGTGGTTCGGAATCATAGACATATCCTTGATCCCAAGGGGCAGGAAGACATGTTTCTGGAGATAGGCGTTGAGCGTCAGTCCAGTTGCGCGCTCCAGTGCGATTCCCGCCCAGTCGATACCAACCTGTTTGCGTTAGCGATGCGCTTCATGGCCCTGATATGGTACCTACGCCGTATTCCCAACCTTCGCCGGGCTGGAAAAGCAAAGGCAGCTTTATATCTTCAATCCGTCCAGAGAACTCATCCACGCCAACCGGATATGACCACTGTCTCAGTCTCTCATTGAAAAAGGTATAGCCAAATCCGGCAGTATGGGACAGCAGCATGCGCAATGTAATTGCACGCTTCTTCTCCTCAAAACTTCCATCTGGCCGCAAAACCTTGAGATTCTTCAATTCAGGGCACAAACGCTCGGTCTGCGCCCCATCGTCCAGCTTGAGAATGTCCTGCTCAACAAGTTGCATGCAGGCGATACCCACCAACATCTTTGTACAAGATGCGATCCAGAAGATGTTATCTAAAGTCATGGTATCTTTGGATCCCGTGCCTCGTTTACCGGCAGAATGAGCGAATAGTTCGTTGCCATCTTTGCCAACGACCACGACTGCGGTCCCGGGAATACCGAACTTTTGATCTTCGCAGGCTTTGTCTATTATGTTGCGTATATGCGAAGTTGCTTGCGCATTGAGGGACATGTTGAAGGCTGTACCAGGAAATAAGGGAGATTGCGCGGGAAATTGTGGGTTCTGAGTATATGGGGTTAATCTACCTTCCAAAGTTATACCGAGGTACCCGAGGACTGCAAGCGTGGCTTATTTAACGGTAGGGTCAAACAGCCCGTTGAACATAACTCCTCCAACAAGCCAGTCTACCTCTGGCGTCTTTGAGAATCACCCCGGATTCTGCGGCTGCATACGACTGCGGAGTCGCACTTTGCGGATCCGCTGCGGATTGCGGACTCGGCGGGAGGTTGTTACATCCGGCTCCGCAAGTAGCGGCTGACGGAATCCAATCAGCGGCAGCTACAGCACCATAAATGACGACATGGAATCTGGGGAACGCGGGAAACCCAATGACGTGGTGCATGAGGGCGGGACCGGACGTATCTAGAAAGATCGCGTCCAATGGACGGATCGACAGAGCTGCGGTTACCTGTATAATGATGATTAACGGGATACTGTTTCAAGCGTATACTAACCTCAGCAGCAAAGCATGTATATCAATGAAGTAAATATAAATAAGTGTGTGCGAAAGAAAAGTTGCGAACGAAGTTTCAAACTGTCAATCTTCTGATAGTCTTATAACAACTAAAATACTTGATAATTTCAATCTTTGCTTAAAATGGGTAGCCTAGGAGAGACGGTCTCTACGCCCAAGAAGTACAACACCGAACTCACGGACTACTCGACAGTCCACGTCGATAAGACTGGACCATATGCCGAAAACCTCGAGATCGATGCCTTAATCGTCGGTGCTGGTTTTGGTAAGTCGCCATCATATACCGGTTTGTCCACCAGCTAACAAAGTAGCCGGGGTTTTTATGCTCAAGACTCTCCGTGATCGCGGATTGAAGACGGTCGTTTTCGAAGCCGGCAACGATACTGGTGGCACTTGGCGATGGAACTGCTACCCCGGCGCCGGCGTCGACTCCGAAGTCCCGGAGTACGAGTTCTCTTGGCCGGAGGTATACAAGACATGGAACTGGCCCAATAACTACCCCGACTACAAAGATTTGCGTGATTACTTCGATCATGTCGACAAGGTAATTGGTATCAAAAAGGACTGCGCTTTCAACACCGTCGTGGTTGGAGCCCAGTTCGATACGAAGGAGGGGAAATGGTATGTTAAGACTGCAGATGGTCGCACGACCAAGGCCAAATACCTTGTCCTTGGAACCGGCTTCGTAAGTTATTGTACACATCAGTCAACAGAATATCTATTGATGAGGCTTTTAGGCCGCTAAGCGTTATATCCCCCCGTGGCCGGGCATGGACAAATTCAAGGGCGTCGTGCACCACTCTTCTTTCTGGCCCGAAGAAGAAGTCGACGTGAAAAACAAACGCTGTGCCATCATCGGCACCGGCGCCTCGGGTGTGCAAATCACGCAGGCTTGGGGGCCAGAGGCCGGCGACCTCAAGGTTTTCCAGCGAACTCCTAACCTTGCCGTGCCAATGCGCAAGCGCAGTCTCACCGCCGAGGAGCAGGAACGTATCAAGCCCTACTATCCGGAGCTGTTCCGGTACCGCGAGGCCAACTATGCCGGCTTTATGTACGACTGGTGCGAGCGCAATACCTTTGACGACACCCCCGAGGAACGCGAGGCCTTCTACGAGAACGTCTGGAAGGACGGTGGCTTCCGCTATTGGGTTGCCTTGTACAAGGATAACTTGTTCAACGCGGAAGCCAACAAAGAGTCGTACAATTTCTGGTCCAAGAAGACCCGTGCCCGTATTGGCGATCCCAAGCTGAGGGAGCTGCTTGCGCCGCGGGAGATGCCACACTACTTTGGTATCAAACGGCCGTGTTTGGAGAAGACCTATTACGAGCAGTTCAATCGGGAATCAGTGCACCTTGTTGACATCAAGAACAACCCGATCGTGGAGTTTACCGAGACTGGTATCACTCTCGAGGATGGAACTCACCATGAGCTTGATGTTGTTGCTGTCGCAACTGGATTTGTAAGTTCTACTTGATACACCAGCAGGACAGCACAGGGACTGACAGACACAGGATGTTGTCACCGGCGTCATGACCCAGCTCGGGCTGAAGAGCATCGATGGCGCCGAGCTCGAGAAAGAATGGATCCCGGGAGCGAGAACCTACCTCGGCACCACCGTCAGTGGCTACCCGAACATGTTCCACATATATGGCCCGCACGGCCCGACGCTCTTGAGCAATGGCCCTACATCTGTCGCGGTGCAGGGTCGGTGGATCGCCGACGCTATTGCTAAGATTGAGGCCAATGGCATCAAGTACATCAACCCCAAGATCGAAGCCGCTGATAAGTGGAAAAAGCATGTTGTCGAGCTCAATGACAGAACTCTCTTCCCCACCACGAGGTCGACGTATATGGGTGGCAGCATCCCTGGCAAGGTTTATGAACCAGTATGCTACTCTGGTGGTATCCCCGCCTATGCCATCGAAATTCGAAAAGCCCTGGATCAGTTGGAGGAAGGGTTTGATGTTATCAAGATTTGAGCGAGTTCAGTGGGGCAAATGAAACGTCTCCAGTCGTTGGGCAACGTTGAGCACTTAGCTATCACAATAGGGTCCCAGGTCCGATGTATTAGTTATCTTCTAACTAGGCCCCATCAGAGAACTTGAAATCGTGAAAATATACATCATCTTGAAGCACCACGTGTAGTAGCTTTCTAGGGCTGCCTGACGAGTAAAAGCACTCTTGTGACCTTCCTCGAAAAGGGATTTATCGGAATTTTACTGACACAATCTGTTACTGCAGTAGTTCTACAGTACCATTCTGGCGGTAAGATGAGCCATCATTTACGAGACTCGTATCCGGGCGGGCCTTGAAATTGTGTGTGATGCAAGGCCTCGACTAGAAAATGAGCCGTCAACAGCAGTCGGCATCCATACATCATCAACATCTCTGCATTTTTGATCCTCTCTGCCAATAAAAGTGTTGACTATAACG